TTGACTACCTACCAGACCACCCCAACCCAACCCGAAGACCCGAATTTGACCCGAATTTCGGGTGGGGGGGTACGGATCCCATGTGTTTTCTCTCAGCGTTCCCCGACCCCCCCCCCACTGGAAATGGAAGACAACTTGAGGGCTTCGGGTTGGGTTGGGGTGGTTTGGTGGGTGGTGATATACCATGCTCTCGCCCTCGACGCAACGATCCACTGTAAGCTATGTGTTGTCTGCGCCCCGAAGCCATACACCGTTGCAACGCATACCACGCTCGCGTCACCGCGGCCGCGATCCATCGCGGTGACTTATGTCGGCATGCCGCGGGTGGTGATTTATGCCGGCATGCCGCCACACAGCACGCAGCGCAACGAGAGAAACGCGCGGGCCCCACGCACGAAACCAAGCAACCGGCGCCTCTGCTTTCCCGCCAGCCCTGGGAGAGAGGCTGCCCAAGTAGGACGGCGAGACGACCGGGAGGAGGAGGAGGAGGAGAGGAGGAGGAGGAGGAGGAGGAGGAGGAGGAGGAGGAAGAGGAGGAAGAGGAGGAGGAGGAGGAGGAGGAGGAGGAGGAGGAGGAGAACGAGGAGGAGGAGGAGGAGGAGGAGGAGGAGGAGGGAGGGGGAGGAGGGAGAGGAGAAGGGAGGAGGAGGAGGAGAAGGGAGGAGGAGGAGTAGGAGGAAGAAGAGGAGGAGGAGGAAGAGGAGGAGGAGGAGGAGGGGGAGGAGGACAAGCTAGGTGCGCTCGCGTCATTGAACGGCATGCCCTGCGGCGCGTGGATGTCCGACTCGTGCCGGATTCGCAGGTACACGGTATAGTCCCAGCTGGGCTTTGGCCCACACCTGGACGTCACAGATCCACCGGTCCAGAAATAGCTGGATCCATGCGAACTGTGCGCGCGCGCCGGGCGGCGCTCGTGGCGCCCGCTTCGACAGCTTAGGCTGCTTGTCGGTACGCGCCTGTCCCTGCAGAACGCGGCGCCAGGGTTCCAGCTTCGACAACTCAGCTTCCCACTTCGTCACCGTGGGACCTGTCGTGGTAGAGCGCGGCGTCAGACCCCGTCGAAGCCCTCCAGGGCGCCCTTCCGGGCGGCCACTTCTGCGCGCGACTGCTGCAGTTGATTCCCCTGCCCCGCGACGCGGCGCGAGTGGCTTCTGCTCGCGCGCGCGCGGGCGCGGCCGTCGACGATGTCGGGCCACGGCGTGTCGGGTGCGAGGCCGACGCGGCGCGCGAGCTCGCCGCGGCCGCGCAGCTTCTGCATCGAGAGCTATGCGAAAGTTAAGACGCTCATCGCTGTCAAAAGTCGTGCATCGCGCCCCCCCATGAGCACCGCCTCGAATCCATTTTGGGGCGGGCTGGCGGCGCGAGCAGTCCGAGGTGAACGCGACCCTGGCAGTGACTTTGGAGCTGCCAGGGCGCGGCTGCCTGCCGCTCGCGCCTCCCAGAGGGCGTCTGCTGAGACGCGCGCCGGGAAGATCCGGCCGCCTCGCGCTTTCGTCAGACATCGACTTCTGTGCGACCTGAAGCCTCGCCATCGCTCGGAGGTCCATCCCCTGTGCTTTTTTCGGTTTCGTGCGTGGTTTTTTCGCCAAATGATCAAGGATGCTCCTCGATGGTCCTCGCCGAAGAAAAAATGCACACGTCCGAGCGATGCCAAGGAAGCAGAGCGCCGCCCCCTCGCCCGCCCGACGCGGCGGGGATGGCCTCGGCGTCGCAGGGGCCGAGGGCAGAGCTGCGCGCGCGGCGCGTCGCACGAGCCCGCCATCGATCCCATCTGCTCTCTCAACCTCGACCCTCTCCGCGCGCGCGCCGCGGCCGCGGCCGCGCGGGGCAGTCCGGCGCCCAGATTGTTGCGGGGGCAAGGCGCTCGCCCAGACGTTGGGCGGTTTCGAGGGGCATGGGCATCCCTGGCCCAGCGCCCGAGGACTTCGTTCCAGCGCGCGTCGCCAGCGCCCAAAGGACTGGTCTCGAGGTCGACGGCTTCTCGCGGCGGCCCCCCGGCATTCGAATTCTCGACCTCGCCGCCGCGGGGGCTGCGGACCGTTCGGGCCCGGCTCAAGAGAGCCCTGGGATCCACCGTGTGGGCCGAGGTTGCCGAGCGAGAAGGTGGGCCAAGGCTTGCAAATTGGCGGGCTCCCGAGCCTAACAGGCAGGGGCTTCGCTCGCGCCGCCTCTCCGCTGAGGAGAGATGCTATCTCGAGTGTTGCCAGCGGAGGGCAATGGCCGCGGCACCGACAGTGGATCACCGAGCTGTCGAAACCGGCAGGATGTCAGCCCTGTTTGCATGGCCCTGGGTCTCTGCTTCACAAGCGAGCAGGCTGCCCAGGCCACGACGCGCTGCGGCGTGGAGACCCTCCAAACTCTCTTACCAACCTGGTTCGGTCCTGCACCTCGCCCCTCCCGCTCCGATTTTCTGTGCGGCAGCTGATGACCCTTTCCTACCCCATCCTCATTTCCAGATCGCTGGCGCTGGAGAACCTCGCCCTCATGTCCACCAGATCTCAGATGAACAAAGACTGGCAGTATTTGGGGCAAGCCCATCCAAATGTCGACATCCTGCGTGCGAGCGAAGGCTCATCGGCAGGGTCGTCGCATTGTTTTTGTTGGGGGGGACGCGCCTCCTCGGGCGATGTGGTAGCGCAAGTGGCTTGTCGGCGCCGCCCGCCTCTGAACTCTGTCCATGCGGTGGCGCTAGCCACGCGGTGTCGCTAGCGATATATGCGGCCAGAACCCTCTCTCCTCTCTTAGCCTGTCGAGGCGCCACGAATTGATCTGACTGTTGCGTGTTGACCGCCCAGAATCGTGCCGCAACACCATTCCGAGGATTTCAACACCGCGAAATAACGTAGCAGTTGCGGCCCGAATGTCCCGAACATATCATAAACATCATATATGATAATGTTAGGAGTGGGAACCATTGAACTTTGCAATTTTTGAAAACGAATGTGCGGAACGTGTGGGCGAGAACCGCATTTTGAAAAGGAACCGTCCTCAAATCTGAGAGCTCCTGCAGACCGGTTAAGCACATGTGCGCGGCGATGAAGCGACAGCCGCATGTTGAAAACGAGACGTCCTCCATTCGCGAAGCTCGTGCCAGGTTTTCGAACGAATGCGCGCGGCTCTAAAGCGAAAGCCACACGTTGAAAACGATCCGCTCTCAATACATGAAGCTCTTGCAGCGGCTGAAAAACATGGCCGCGTCGCTCTCGCCATCGCTCGGACGTCCACTCCCTGTGTTTTTTTCGGTTTCGTGCGTGGTTTTTTCGCCAAATGATCAAGGATGCTCCTCGATGGTCCCCACCGAGGAACAAATGCACACCTCCGAGCGATGCCAAGCGCCTGGGTGACTGTCGCATTTTGGAAGCGACGCGCCATCCATCTGTGAAGCTGCTGCCCCGTGCAATGAAGCCTGAGGCTCATAAGTGGTAACGATGTCTCTGGCGAGACGCCCAGCCCGCCCTGACTGGCGACGGGATGCGACAGGGAGGAGGTAGCCATGAGAAGGAATAGTGGCACTCTGGAGGAGGAGAGGGGGAGATGGGGAGAGGGGGCCGAACCCCCGCGCTGGATTTTCGCCGGCGGTGCCCTGCTGTCGTCCTTGGAGCTCGCGTCCGGGCTCGGGGCGGCATCTTTCGGCGCGCCTGGGCGAGGAGGGGATGGTTCCACGACTTCCGCCCGGGGGATCGATGTTCGGGGAGCCCGGCAGGCGGTGGAAATGGATGTACTCGGCCCCGGGGGGGACGTGAGAAGGAGACGGCCTTCTCAAAAGGCGGCGGGATTTCTGAGGACCCCCAGCGCTTTCTGAGACATCTTCTGTGCCTCCGGGGCAGGCTTAGGAAACTTCTGAAGGCTGGGGGCCTTCCGAGCCTTCTGAGCAAGCCTTCTCTGAAGGGGCCCTGGGACACACAAACAAATACACAAATAAATGGATCCCCCATATGTTATATATTTTCGGGGTGTCTGTCTTCCACCCCCCACTTCCCATATTTTCCAATATTTCCTGGGAATCGACGATTAATTGTGTTTGGGTTGTTTCCCCTCCTGATTATCACTCTCACTTCCCCCCCTCGTTCGCCGCCGACCATCGCCTGCCGAGGTCCCTGGATAACGATCCCCCAGGTTGTGGCTCTGGATGGAGCCTGTGCTTTTTTTGGACTCCAGCAAAAGTACTTGCATGGGCGGAGGGGGGGAGCTCAACCGAGCCGCAAACGACTCGTACGTGCGGAGCTCACGCAAGTCGAGAGGCACTTGCGTGTTAGTCTTTGCTTGAAGAGGGGCGAGGGGTGGGTGGGTGGTGGGGGGGGAGGGGGGGGCGAACGCCATGCAAATCAACTCGCCCGAGTCTACACTTAGATCGGGCATGTCCCCCTATAGGCGGATTTCGGAGGGGTAATAGGAAAGACCCAGACAATAACTTCATCATGAGTCCAAAAGTAATCGCAAACTCGTCCCCAGTCTATTTGTTTAAGACTATGTTTGAATAATTCCTCCTGTGGAAGGACAGGCCGACGTAAATGCAAACAAAAACCCAGCTCTGAGGCCTGGCCCCAGTTGCGGCGGTGGACAAACCTCCCTTCAATAAACCACCTTTTAGTGAAAGCGGCCTAAGACCGAAACCGACGGACTTGGACCCGCAAAAAACGACGGCCGCGAAGCCCTCTCGCGAACCGAGAACGGCCAATCCGCTAATCGACGTGTCAGGGAGGGAGGTCTATCAACCTCCGACATTTGGACGCCCGAAATGGGCACGGAACCAATGGGCACAATACCCAACTGCAAATGTTGTCCCGAACCAACAGCGGCAGCTGTTGGGCAGGCGGCCTTCTGTCTCAAATGGACACAGGCCGCGGCGGCGCGGACAGCGAGCCCCGTTCAAAATGAACAGGATCCGCTGTTGGGCATCGCACCCATTCTTTCCGTGCCCACTCTCGGCATCGCTCGGATGTCCATTCCCTGTGCTTTTTTCGGTTTCGTGCGTGCTTTTCGCCAAATGATCAAGGATGCTCCTCGATGGTCCTCGCCGAAGGAAGAATGCACACGTCCGAGCGATGCCAAGTCCACGGCCGGCGCAGATCCAACAGGCCGACCGGCCGTCGGCAGATCGTCGTGCAGATCCGACAGATCCGTGCAGATCGTCGTGCAGATCGTCGTGCAGATCCGCAGATGCCAAGCACTTCGTTCGTGCAGATCCGACAGGCCGGCGCCCGCGCCGGCGCCCAGCAGCTCGGCCACGGCGCACCCCTCGGCGCCGAGGCCCAGCTCGCCGAGCTCCTCGGCCAGCAGCGCCGCGTCCAGGCAACCCCGCGCCGGCGGCCCCTGCAGGTGGGCCGATGCTCCACCACCGCTACCATCTGGGGAGGAGAGGGACGAGGAGGAGGAGGAGGAGGAGGAGGAGGAGGAGGAGGAGGAGGAGGAGGAGGAGGAGGAGGAGGAGGAGGAGGGAGGGAGGGAGGAGGAGGGGAGAGGGAGAGGAGGAGGAGGAGGAGGAGGGAGGAGGAGGAGGAGGAGGAGGAGGAGGAGGAGGAGGGGGAGGAGGAGAGAAGGAGGAGGAGGGGGAGGAGGAAGAGGAGGAGGAGGGGGAGGAGGAGGAGGAGGAGGAGGAGGAGGAGGAGGAGGAGGAGGAGGAGGAGGAGGAGGAGAGGAGGAGGAGGAGGGGGAGGAGGAGGAGGGGAGGAGGAGAGGAGGAGGGGAGGAGGAGGAGGAGGAGGAGGAGGAGAGGGGGGAGGGAGGGGAGGAGGAGGAGGATGAGGAGGAGGGGAGGAGGGAGGAGGGAGGAGGAGGAGGAGGGAGGAGGGAGGAGGAGGAGGAGGAGGAGGAGGAGGAGGAGGAGGAGGAGGAGGAGGAGGAGGAGGAGGAGGAGGAGGGGGAGGAGGAAGAGGAGGAGGGGGAGGAGGAGGAGGAGGAGGGGGAGGAAGAAAAGGAGGAGGAGGAGGAGGAGGAGGAGGGGGAGGAGGGGGAGGAGGAGGAGGCGGAGGAGGCGGAGGAGGAAGGAGGAGGAGGACCTCCCCATCCTCCCTCCTCCCCCGTCCTACCTGCGGCAGCCGGCGGTGGAAGATTTGCCCACCACCTGCAGGCCCCGACCGCCGCCCGGCGGGCAGTCCGGCAGCCCCGCCGGCGCCAGGCAGGCCGCCAGGCCGACGCCGGCCCGCAGCCCGGAGGCGAGGGGCAACGAGAGGGCGGAAGCCTTTTTCTTATGTTTATAGATTCGGGCAAGGTTCCCAGACCCCCTCGAGTAATGAAACAATCATGACGGGAGGTTTTACCTAATTTTCGGCCTCCGGGGCCCTCACCGGGCCTCGGGAGCGTCAAAAAACGACTCGGGATGAAAAACCGGTCATGGGGAAAGGGTCGGGACCTCTGGGGGTCGACGTCATGAAAAAATCATGACGTCGGGGGTCGGGGTTCCGGGAGCGGCAAAGAGGGGGGCGTCCAAGAGGGGGTGGTGCAAATCATGGCTGGCGGCATGTGCGCGGCCCAGCGGGGGGCCCGGGGACGTGGCGAAATGAGAAGAGGCGCCATGAGATCTGGAGAAATATCATGGTCCACGCCGTGATATCCACCCCCCCCTAGTCATCACCCCCCTCGTTTCCGCCCCCGAAGGTTGCTTGCCACTTTCCCCTCCCCGGGCTTAAACGAACACTAGCGTGCAAGTCGTTCGGGAGCTCGACCACAAGAAACCTTCCGCAAGAAACCCGACCCTGGGACCCCGGGGACGTCCATTGATCTTTGGTGTGGGGACGTCACGCTTCCCACAGCAAAACCATCGAGACCCAAGAAACCCAGGGCGCTCTGGAGGCAAGCAGGGTGTTTCTTGGCATGGGTCTCCAGTGTAGGGCGGGGGGGAGGAGGCTCATGGGAGGGGGACATCGACCTGGAGTCGGCGATGCCTCGCTGGTAGATCGGCGACGGGCCCCAAATGGCGATAGGCCCCCGATGGCGAAGCCGCACGGCCCCCTGGGCGACGAATGGGCCTCCAGGGGCCCTATCGGCGACGAGTGGGCGATTCTGGCCCCCCCTCTGAACCTATCCCAGAGATGCCACGTCGCGAACAATAATTCAAAATCGTCAAAAATCTCGACTGGAGCCCTAGACCCTATACGCCGGCCGGAAGAAGTATGTAGAACCGTGAAGCAGGAAGACGTTGAAGTAGACTGGGCTTCGGCCCGCCCCCCTGAAGAGGAAGGAAGAGGGAAGACCACTCGACTCTTGAAGCAGGAAGTCGCCCAAAATATTTTGGCATCTGGATCTCCAGAAATACCTGCCTCTTTCTGCGCCGCTCTTCGATGAGGATCGTTTAACCGACCCCCATCCCCAGCGGCGTGGTCTGGGCCTCGCTGGCCGATTTACCCTCCCAGATGGGGATATACGCCGCATCCTTCGGGTTTCGAGGGGTGCATCCCCAACTGGGGTGGTAATTTGGTGGGGGTCTCGAAGGTGATGGAGATCGGGGATGGGGATCGGTTACACGATACCGATTCGAGCTGCATCGATCGGCGAGGGACCCCGATGGCCCAAAAGCAAGGCAGAAGCGCCTGGCGCAGAAAAACGCTGCAACGCTGAGGTCGGGCACGTCCCCCACAGGCGGCTTTTGGGGCGAAAACTTAAAACCTACTCCAAATCCATGATTAGATCGACCCCCCAAACAAAAACTGAACCCCCATCCAAATGCGACCTAAGATTCTGGAACCTCTTCGACGGGGCGCCTTGATAAACCGGACCCCCTGAGCTCCAATACAAAGAAAGCGCCCTGATCAACTGGACCCCCCCAGTCACAAAAAAAGCGCATCAAAAACGAACCCGGGGACGATTAATCAGGAATTTTGAGTAGTCACAGAAATACTGGATTACCCTGTGACGTACCCAACCCTTTCTATACATGTGGCGATTATACGCAGGACCACTCAATGCTGACTGGCATTCTCAAGGACCCGCAGTGCGCAAGAAGAGCACCCAGCAGTGATTTCAGAAGTGCGCAGCAAGAAGAGGAACGACAAATATACAAAATGGAAGCACAGGGGGCGTTGAAAGAAACGCGCCCAAAAAGTGAACACAAAAGGGCGCGGCGGCGAGGGCTGAACCAAAACATACGTTTCACTCAGAAACGCGCTGCGCTGAGCGGGGCGAATGCATGAGGTGCATGACGGGGGTGGAGACTCACCCAGAAGTGGAGACAGAAGGGCGCGGCAGCGAACCCAAAGAGAAACACCCAAAAGTGGAATCAAAAGGTCGCGGTCGCGCTCGCCTCCTGCGCGAACGCCCGCCTCCGAGGTGAACGCTCGCGCCCAAGAGGCCCGCGAAAGCCCCCAAGAGGCCCTAAGACGACCCCCCACGGGCCCCAAAGCTGTTTCCAAGAGGCCCCCAAGCCGCCAACCACGAGATCCCAACGAGCACTCCAGTGGCCTCTGGCCCACCACCCAGGCACGGTGGCGGGATGGGCCGAAGGCCAATAAATCCGCCGCCCCCTGCTTGCAGGGGTGCACGGCGTGCTGGATGATTCAGGTTTTGGTTTTGGTTCTTTTTCTAAAAGAACTCCCCAGTGGGCTTCGGCCCGTCCCGCCGGCCACCCGCAAATTGCCGAAAACCCATCTATCAATGCCCAAAAACGGCAGTTTCGCTCGGGACATCCTCAAAAAATCGCGACGATGGCCCAAGATGGCCTCCAAGTCCGCCCGAGATGGTCCAATACGGCCTCCAAAACGGCCCAAGAGAGTCCAAGACGGCCCAAGACGGCCCAAGAGGCCCCCCAGAGGCCTCCCAGACGGCCCAAGAGGCCTCCAAGAGGTCCTCCAGGAGAGTCCGAAGAGGCCAAAATCATTGATTTTCCATTGGTTTTTGAAGGATTTTGGCATTTGCGCCTTTTCGGCTCTCCGACGGCTCAAGACGGCCCAAGAAGCCCCCAAGATCGCCCAAGAGGCCCCCAAGAGAGCCCCATGATGGCCCAAGTGGCCTCCAAGATGGCCCCTAGAGGGCCCCAAGAGGGCCCAAGAGGCCTCCAACACGCCCAAGATGGCCTCCAAGACGCCCAAGATGGCCTCCAAGACGGCCCTGGAGCATTCCAAGCGGGCCCCAAGTCGGCCCATAGAGGCCCCCCAAACGGCTTCCGACGGCTTCAGACGTGCCAGGAACCCACCAAGATGGCCGAAGTTGGCTCGAAGCTGGCCCGAGACGGCCCAAAAGCCCCAAAGATCGCCCAAAGCTTGCCCAAGAGGCCTCCAAGACGGCCAAGATGACCTTCAAGATGCCCACGTGTTCCCCGAAGGCTTTCCAAACCGATTCGGGGAACACGTGGTCCGATAGCTTGGCAGGTCTGGCCTCAACGTTCGGCCACATAGGCGCTTCCAAAAAGGCAGGGGGCGGCGGTGATTCGCCGTAGGCGTCTTCGATCCGCCGCCCCCTGTCGGTTCATCGCAGGGGTGCCTGGCGTGCCAGACTATTACGGTTTTGGTTTTGGTTCTTTTTCCAAAAGAACTCCCCAATGGCTTCGGCCCGACCCGCCGGCCACCCGTAGATCGCCCAATTCCCAGAAAAATCCTCCTAGACGGCTCAAGATGGCGTCCAAGATGGCCAAGATGGCCCAAGATGGCCTCCAAGACGGTCCAAATGGCCTCCAAGTCCGCCCAAGATGGTCCAAGACGGCCTCCAAGACGGCCCAAGAGAGTCCAAGACAGCCCAAGACGGCCCAAGAGGCCCCCCAGAGGCCTCCAAGACGGCCCAAGAGCCCTCCAAGAGGTCCTCCAGGAGGGCCCGAAGAGGCCAAAATCATTGATTTTCCTTGGGTGTTTGAAGGATTTGGGGATTTGCTTCCTCTCGGCATTCCGACGCCTCAAGACGGCCCAAGAGGCCCCCAAGATCGCCCAAGATGCCCCCAAGAGGGCCCCATGCGGCCCAAGTGGCCTCCAAGACGGCCCCAAGAGGGCCCCAAGACGGCCCAAGAGGCCTCCAACACGCCCAAGATGGCATCCAAGACGCCCAAGATGGCCTCCAAGACGGCCCCGAAGCGTCCTAAGAGGGCCCCAAGTCGGCCCAGAAAGGCCCCCAAGACGGTTCCCGACGGCTTCAGACGTGCCAGGAACCCACCAGGATGGCCGAAGTTGGCTCAAAGCTGACCCAAGACGGCCCAAGAGGCCCCCAAGAGGGCCTCCAGGAAGGCCAGAAGAGGCTAAAAACATTGATTTCCCTAAGATATGTGACAGATTTTGACAGTTGTTTCTTTTCGGCCTTCCGACGGCCCGAGACGGCCCAAGAGCCTCCAAAGATCGCCGACAGATCGCCCAAGAGGCCTCCAAGATGGCCCCTGAACGGCCCAAGAGGGCCCCAAGACGGCGCCCTAGACGGCACAGGAGGCCTTTAACACGCCCAAGATGACCTCCAAGACGGCCCTGGAGTATTCCAAGAGGGCCCCAAGTCGGCCCATAGAGGCCCCCCAAACGGCTTCCGACGGCGTCAGACGGACCAGGAGCCCACCAAGACGGCCGAACATGGCCCTAAGATGGCCCAAGAGGCCTCCAAGACGGCCTCCAGGAAAGCCCGAAAAGGCCAAACTCATTGATTTGCCATGGGTTCTTGAAGGATTGTGGCATTTGCTTTTTTTCTGCCTTCCGACGGCCCGAGACGGCCCACGTGCCCACAAAGATCGCCCAAGAGGCCCAAGACACGGCCCCAAGAGGCCCCCAAGACGGCCCAAGAGGTCTCCAAGACGCTCAAGATAGCCTCCAAGACGGCCCAAGAGCCCTCCAAGACGTCCTCCAAGAAGGCCCGAAAGGGTCAGAATGGCCTCCAGACGGCCAAGATGACCTTCAAGATGCCCACGTGTTCCCCGAAGGCTTTCCAAACCGATTCGGGGAACACGTGGTCCGATAGCTTGGCAGGCCTCTGGCCACAACGTTCGGCCACATAGGCGCTTCCAAAAAGGCAGGGGGCGGCGGTGATTCGTCGTAGGCGTCTTCGATCTCCGCCACCCCCTGTTGCTTGCAACAAGGGTGCCTGGCGTGCCAGACGATATGGCTTGTGGTTTTGGCTCTTATTCCAAAGGAACTCCCCCTGGGGCTTCGGCCCGTGCCGGCCACCCGGAAAGGATCTCAAAACGCGTCCGTCGTGCCTCTGTTTTTTCCAGTTGGCCCAAGATGGCGTCCAAGACGGCCAAGATGGTCCAGGATGG